TGGTTTTTAGCTCCGTTTCACTTGGTTTCTCTAGAAAGCTGACCTAAAGTTCTGCGTGAGTAAACTTTAACAGAAGTGCCTTCCAGCCTTCTGTTTCAGCTCTGTGTGCTTCCTGATTTAATTGAGCACTCTGCAGCCCCGGTGTTTTTATTCGTGGGTCTATGAGAAGTTAAAGGAGTGAAAGAGAAACTTTCTGACTTGTTTTCTTCCTTGATCCTTGTGTGTGTGTTGTGTGTGTGTTGTGTGTGTGTGTGTGTGTGTGTGTGTAGCTTTGTGTGTGTGCCTTTGGAGTGGGGACAGGGGTGTGGCAGAGAATTCTGACCAGGCTTTTCTTCTTGGGACTTCCTGCTCCTGAGCTAAGGTGGAGCATCGAGTTTCTCCCTGGTGGTGAGTGCAGCCCTGATGCTGGGCATGGGAACGCCCTGGTTTTCTAGAAAGCCACCAACTCCAAATCTTTATGTCAGGGGCTCTCAAAGTGTGGTCCCTGGATATGCACCACTCATCTGGGAAGTTGTTAGAAATTCGGATTCTTGGGCACCACCCCACCTATCGAATTGGAAGCTCTGGGGGAGGGGCCCCAGTGGCAGCTGTGCTTTAACCAACCCATCAGGGGATTCTGATGCATGCAAAAGTTTGAGAACCACTACTGAAGGCCAAGGTCTTTTTAATTTCTGAAGCAGATCTTTTGTATTTCTGAGTGCTTACTGAAGCTTCAGGTTATCACTTTCCTGAACCAGAAATATGACACAGACAGCAGCAGTAATACTTATTGCTGGCCACGTTCATATAGCGTGGTGGCTAGGAACGTGGATTCTTTGGAGTTCTTTACCACTATGTGACCTTGGGTAAGTTAATTAACCTCTCTGCTTTTTATTTCCTCAACTAGGCTATGGAGATAATAGTAGTAGAAACTCTTACTATCCCTGTTTCACAGTTGAGGAAACTGAGGCCTGGGAACAGTTCCAGAGCTTGCTTTGAGTCACTCTTCAGTGGAGTTGGAGGTTCAGATTCAGACAGTCTGATTGCAGAGCCTGGGCTCTTGTCCCCCTTGTGTGCATTTCCACTTAGTCATCCTTACCCTGGGGTCAGCAAGGCCTCCACCTGTAGCCACAGCTGCAAGCTGTAGGGGCCTGTAGTGGCTGGAGCTGGACGTCCCATCGTCATGGTGTTGCAGCAGGAGCAGAGCCTGTGTGAAACTCCCTGTTTCTGAAACCTGGATTCCCCTTTACAGAGGCAGGGCTTTAAAAGGTAAAAGCAGTCCTCTCAGTAGACTTTGGTTTTCTGCAGGAGTGTGGTGACGCTCTGGGAGCAGGTGTCGGCTATCACTACAATTGAGGTGCTACTGCCATTTAGTGGGCGGGGCCAGGGGTGCTAGATGTCCTCAATGAAGAATTGTCCTGTGTCCCACTGGATTGTCATGTGTGCCACCAAACTTTCCAAGTCGTTTTCTCTCTGTTCCAGGTGGGAATCTATTTACATGGGATCTCAAAGTATTTTTTTGGCATGATTTTAATACACAGTCAGTATACACTGAGACTCTGAGGAATATAACGATTGCGTTTTAATATATTGGGAGAAGATTTTATTTTGTTGGTTTGAAAATTTTACTAAGAGTTTTCACCGTTACAGAAGATTCACATCGTGCTGTTCCTGATAATTTGAAATAGCAATACAGCACACCTATATCAGTCTGCATTTTGCACGGACTGCATTTCTGGTGATTCTAGGTATAGGAACAAACATTTACTAATTCTTGATGTCTCCTAGGGCCCCACTTCTCAAAGGTTAATGTGTCCATGAATTACCTGGAGAATTTGTTAAGCTGATTGAAATGAGATTCTGCATTTTTAACAAGCCAGCGCTGATGACCCGTGGACCACACTTTTTGGGTAGTAGAGTTCTTGTTGTGTATGCCTGAGGGTTTTCTTTTCAAGTACCTATGTTGTTATAACTTACTTTCATTTTGAGAAAACTTTTAGAGCGAGGGCATTACATTGATTTTTTAAAAAAAATGTTGGTAAGTTATTGTCTATGAATTTCATTTCAGACTTGGAAAAAGGGCATTTAAAAATGTTTGCTTTTAGGATGGTGCCTTGGGCCTGATGGCGTGACAGCCACTGCTCTGGGAGGTTAAGTGGCTCTAGTCATAAATCCACACAGAATTAGGGACCTCAACGTCATGGGGTAGTGATTCAGAATATACTTATTATGTTAATTGTTCGAAACAGGTTATCATTCACTTATTTACTCTTTCAACAAATATTTATTGAACGCCTCTGTGTGCTCTGTGCCAGCCACTGCTCTGTGTTCTTGGCATGCTTCTGTGAACAACGTAAAGACCCCTGTTCTCACAGACCTTATCTTCTGGTGGGGGAGACAGACAGGATACATCATAAGTAAATTACGTGGGGTTTTAGGTGATCAGTGCTATGGACTATTGGAAGATTAGGAGTGCTAGGGTGAAGGGAATGGGGTGAGCAGTTCCAGTTTCAAATAGGGTCATCAGATTTCTCATCGAGGACGTGACTTAAGGTGGTCAGGGAGTTGGCCGTGTGGAAACCAGGGAAGAGCAATCCAGGCAGAAGGGATAGACCATGCAAGGCCCTGAGGCTGGAGATCGTCCAGCTGGACCCTTGAGGAGCTGCAGAGTGAGCAAGGGGAGTGCGGTCAGGGATGAGGTCGGAAAGATGTAAGGGGCCAGATGGCTCAGGGACTTGTAGGACCTCATAGGGCCTCTGCTCGTATTCTGAGGTACGGAGTTATCGCAGGCTTTGAGGAGTGACATGATCTCACTCAAGTTTTCCAAAGCTCCCTGTGGCTGCTGTGTTGAATGTGGCCTTCAGACGGCAAAGGTAGAAGCGAGGAGACCAGTTAGGAGCTGTTGCAGTGTCCAAGCATGAGAGGATGGTGGCCTTGACCTGGGGGAGGCATCGGTGGTAGTGAGAAGTGCTCAGATTCTGGATGCATTTTCATGAAACTTAGAATACAAGTTTGGAAAGTTCTCAGCACTCAAGGCTCCCAGCAGTACCTGGGTGGATCCTAGTTTGAGGAAAATCTGATGTGGCTGACAGACTTGTTACCATGGTTCCATGTTCTTTTCCTTCTGGCGATTTTGTGTGTGTGCGTGCGCGCGCGCGCGCGCGCCTGCGTGTGGCATGTCTGTCCAGGCCAGTGGTTAGCAGTCAGTCACAACAAGCAGCTAGCTGAGCAGGGGTTAGTTTAGAATAGAAACTGAAGCAGCACTAAATGGAGCTAACTGGTCCTGAGAGCCTCACACATTCCCCCTTGATTAACCCAGGACGTATTTTTAGTGAAAACATAAGCTATCACTCAATTAGTGTTTCCTGTATTACTCTGATGCTAAAGCAAAGATAAAAATTCCATTTTCTTGTCCCATTCCCCTCGTGACACCATGTGTCCCCCTTATTCCTTAGACTCTGAGACTGCAGAAATTTCATTAGCATGCCTGCTTTATTTCAGTTGACTGACACTTTTTTGACTTAAAATATGCATTATGTAGTTTTGCCCTAGATTTCCAAATAATTTATTTGAAAATGCAGGAGCAGTTTGAGATGTCTTCTGATATATACATGCAACTCGTTTTCTGTGCGGATCACAATTCCAGCTACCTTTCGTGCTGGGAGGAGACTTGACTACCGTAGAGCTAAGCTTCCTGTAGTAGGGTTTTTTGAAGGCCCACCAGAACTGTGCCTAGCCAAGGTATTAGCTAGAGCACACACAATTAAGTAAAGTTACATGGCATGACTCCAGGAGACCCCAGTTCTCAGCCAAGGTGACCTTTCAGGTGCTATATGTCGTTAACGATTTTGGCCTAAGGCTTTCTGCCTAATCGTAGCAGTGATTTGATCAGCTGAATTTTTTTTTTTTTTTTTTTTTTCATTTTACACTTACAGCAATTACTTGTGAAGAATAAGTGTATATTCTTGTGCTGTTGCTACCATTACCCCAGGTGTCACTGAGACCATTTGTTGGCCTGAAGTGAGGGGAGCAGAAGGTAGCTTCATTTACGCAAACCTTTCCCCTTTATTCTTTCCAGTCTGTATTTTGGGAACTCTGATTTAGTTCTATAACTCAGTGATCTGGGCAGGTGAAAGTGGTTTTTTTTTTTTTTTTTTTTTTTTTTTTTTAATGCCTTGGGCTATTTTTGATGTGTTGTGACCTTGGTAAGGAAAGTTTTCCTATATCTATCCAGTAGATCTTTTTTAAGGAGGGTACGAATTGTGGCTATGTATTTTTAGACCACATTTTCCTGTGGCATTTGTACTCTGGTGCACGGTGTCATGGAAATTTCTCTTCCTAGTCGAGGATTGAGAAGATGGTCTTTCAGTGCTGGCTTTGTCCAGTTACTGTACGAGCTGAGAGAGCCTCACTCTTCTCATCTGTAAACAGGCATGAAGACACACGCCTACCATCTGCCTCAGAATTGGTAGAGGTGAAGTGAGCCGAGATGTATGAACAGCTTGGCAAGCTCTAAACTTCCCCTCAGTTGCAGGGCTGTGGTGGTGTGTAGTTATCACAAGCCTTGGGCCTAGGAACCCTTCATTCCTGTCTTTAACTCGCTGTGGGGTCTTGGGTAAGTTGAGTGAGCCAGTTTTCTGGAACATAGCATAGAGACGTGCACAGGGGCTGGCAAGGTAGGGGCGGTCAAGCTGTGGGCTCTCTAGAAACAATCCTAGTCTGCACATTCTATGAGTTTACGTTTATGGGGGGAGGTTGCTTTTTTTTTTTCCTTTTTCCAATTTTATTAGTGAAGAATTTTCACCTACAGGCAATGGTTGTTAACGTTTTACCACATTTGCTTTCTCTCTCTCTACACATGTATATATTGATTTTTAAACCTCTGTTGCTTCTTTCCTTGGTGAGTGTTGAACAGTTCTCTACAGAGCATAGCAAACTTCGTCATTCCTGAGGCCACAGGATGTTGGCTTCAGTTGGAGCTTTGACATCCTTCGCACTAATCAGTACCTTTCCTCCCACAGGATGAACTGACTGCTGTGAATGTAAAGCAAGGCTTCAACAATCAGCCCGCCTTTACTGGAGACGAGCATGGCTCGGCTAGAAATATTGTAATTAACCCGTCAAAGGTAATGCTCATCGCTTCCCAAAACTTCCGAAAGAGCATACGTATGTGAGACCCATGGTAGTAATGTTGGTAAATTTGTGTTATTGAAACCACAATGCATATTCAAAGTTCCCCCAGATATCCCTTACGCTGGCCTGCCTTAGGGTCCAGTCAGTGATCACGCACTGCTTTTGGCTGGCGTATCTCCTAACCCTATTTTAATCTAATGCAGTACCGCTCTCCAGAGTCCCTCATTTTGTTGTTGTTGTGAGGTTTTTTTGTTTTTTTCAGGTTCAGTATTTTTGGTGCAAAGACTACAGTGCATATGAGGAGACGTGCAGTGTTGGTTTGCCTGAGTGTTGCTTATACTGTTTGATCACTTAAGGTGCTGTCTGCCATCTCTTTACATTGCAAAAGCAGTCATCTTTTCCTCGTAGTAATCTCCACAGGGTGATACTTCGAGACCGTATGAATATCCTATCGTCCAATAAATTTTTTTTTTTTTTTTTCTTTGGGTCCGGGGGCCTCTCACTGCTGTGGCCTCTCCCGTTGCGGAGCACAGGCTCCGGACGCGCAGGCTCAGCGGCCGTGGCTCACGGGCCCAGCCGCTCCGCAGCATGTGGGATCCTCCCGGACCGGGGCACGAACCCGTGTCCCCTGCATCGGCAGGCGGACTCTCAACCACCGCACCACCAGGGAAGCCCTGTCCAATAAAATTTTATGCTACGATTTTAGCATCGATTGTCGATACCTGCTGAATGATTTATTTTGCTGATGGTTGCAAAATGCTGGTTTTGTAGTTATTATTCCTCGTATGTTTATTAGTTGACATTCTTTTGTTAAGGACACCCCATTTTTCAGTATCACTTTGAACCCCTGAACTCTTAAAATCAGTTGTATGACCTTCAGTTTTCTTTTTGATGCTCACACTGTCTCACATTTGGCCAGTGGGGGCACCTTTAACCTGGTTCTTGGGCCTTTTGGACAACCCCCTCACCCCGCAACCCAGTCCTTTGGGCACTTCCTCACTTGAGGTACAATAACATAGTCCAGGGCCATCTTGTTCTTTTCCTACCCCATCCCAGATCTGGGTGCCCAGCTTGCTCATGGCTACTTGAGTGTCACAACTTCTAGGCCCTTTCAGTGGACAGAGATGGCAAAAATATTTAGGTTTCTTTTCTTCTTTTTCTTCCCTCCCTCCCTCCTTTCCTTCCTTCCTTTATTTTTTGTCTCCACCCTGCGTTAGTCTGGGTCTTCCAAGAAGCAGATGTCAAGATGGGATTAAAGGGGCATCAGTTCTACTGGGACAAGCACCTGTGGGAGAGAAAATAGGGAGGGAGCTGAAAAAAGGCTGGAAGAAGCAGTGCAAGTCTGACCTCGAGTGCAGCGGGAGAAGGTTGGGCAGAAGTGTGTTCGACCGCCCTGCAACCCGGGGAAGGTTCAGCAAGGCTGTCGGGGCATCTTCGAGCCTGGGTTGGCCGTTGGAGGAGTCTGATGTCTCCAGAATGGGCCTGCCGTGGCATCCCTGCTGCGCTCTGTCATTGGCTGGGAGCACTTCCTCCCTTCCTCCCTTCCTCCCTTCCTCCCTTCCTCCCTTCCTCCCTTCCTCCCTTCCTCCCTTCCTCCCTTCCTCCCTTCCTCCCTTCCTCCCTTCCTCCCTTCCTCCCTTCCTCCCTTCCTCCCTTCCTCCCTTCCTCCCTTCCTCCCTTCCTCCCTTCCTCCCTTCCTCCCTTCCTCCCTTCCTCCCTTCCTCCCTTCCTCCCTTCCTCCCTTCCTCCCTTCCTCCCTTCCTCCCTTCCTCCCTTCCTCCCTTCCTCCCTTCCTCCCTTCCTCCCTTCCTCCCTTCCTCCCTTCCTCCCTTCCTCCCTTCCTCCCTTCCTTCCATCCATCCATCTGTTCTAAGTCAGTACCACAGGGTCTTTCCCATGCTTTTCCCTTTTCCATCATCGTATCTCCTTTCTCTTAAGGTGAGAACCCTGAATCCCAGCAGTATTAGCATGTTTATTCATTTACTCTATCTTACAATATACATAAAAAGTTCCAGAATAAACTATACCAGTGTCATTCCAACAACAAAATTGCTATGTAAAATTTACCATTGCTCTACCATGCTTTTTGTCTTTAGACTAACTTTCATTAAGAGTATATAGTCAGAGGGACTTCTCTGGTGGTGCATTGGTTAAGAACCTTCCTGCCAATGCAGGGGACGCGGGTTCGATCCCTGGTCTGGGATGATCCCACATGCCGCGGAGTAACTAAGCCCGTGCGCCACAGCTACTGAGCTTGCGCTCTAGAGCCTGCGAGCCACAACTACTGAAGCCCGTGCGCCTAAAACCTGTGCTCCACAACAAGAGAAGCCACCTCAGTGAGAAGCCCGTGCACCGCAGTGAAGAGTAGCCCCTGCTCGCTGCAACTAGACAAAACCCGCAACAAAGACCCAATGCAGCCAAAAATTTAAAAATAAATAAATAAATTTATTTTTTAAAAAAGTATGTAGTCAGAGTGTTGTATTAAAAATTTCTTGAATTAAGTCTTTTTTCTTTGTGGTTATGTTAACAATTAGATATATAGATGGAATTATCTGTTTCTGTTTGTATCCTTTAAGGTTTGTTATTTTTGAGTTATTTCTATTTTCGAATATTAAAATACTTTTTAAATTAAAAAATCATGCCTACAGATTAAAAGAAATCAAGCATACAGATGAATCTCTATTCTTGTTTTCTCTTAACCAGAGATAACCATTGTTAAAAGTTTGTGTATCATTTCAAATCTCTTTTTATATGCACACATGCATACACAAACATATGTAATTTGCTAAACTAGCAACTGAAGTATTATTTAAGTGATGTGAAAAAAAAAATAGAATTATTTTCTACAGATTGTCCTATTGACCAAACACAGTGTTTTTAGTCTTTTTCCAGTCTTGCTTGATACCTTTTAAACATCACAACTACAATTATGTATGTGTTGTGATTTGTTTTCTACATTTTTTTTATTGTGGTAAAATTTACATAACATAAAATTTACCATTAACATATTTAAGTGTATAGTTCTTTGGCATTAAGTACATTCACACTGTTGTGCAAATATAACTACCATCTATCTCTAAACTTTCATCTTCCTTAACTATGTACTTAAAGAAGTAATATCATTTTGTGTGTACTTTTCCTTGAGGCTGAAGTATTCATATTCATAGTAATTAATGGATAGAGGACATTTCATCATTTATGTGCTGTAATAACTGAAACTGCTGGTGTACGGCAATTAGCCTATTATCTGTTTGGTATGGTTATTTATAAAGAAGCTATAGTCATATTTGAACATACAGCTTTTATTCTTTAGGATAAATTCCCAGCAGCATATTACTTGGTTAGAAGGTGCATTAGTCTACTGGGGCTGCCATAACAAAAGACCACAAACTGAGGGGCTTAAACAACAGAAATTTGATTTTCTGAGAAAGTTTATTTTCTCACAGTTTTGGAGGCCGGAAGTCCAAGATCAAGGTGTCAGCAGGTCTGGTTTCTCCTGAGGCCTCTCTTCTCGGCTTGTATACTGCTGCCCTCTCACTGTGTCCTCACGTGGGCTTTTCTCTGTGTGCGGGTATCTCTGGTGTTCTCCTTCTTACAGTGACACTAGTCATATTGGATTAGGCCTCACCCTTATGACCTCATTTAACTTTTTTTCTCTCTTTCTTTTTTGTTTTTTACAGTAGGTCCTTGTTGGTTATCTATTTTAAATATAGCAGTGTGTACATGTCAATCCCAAACTCCCAATCTGTCCCTCCCCCCAGGTAGCCATAAATTCATTCTCTAAGTCTGTGAGTCTGTTTCTGTTTTGTAAATAAGTTCATTTGTATCATTTTTTTTTTTTTAGAGTCCACATATAAGCGATATCATATGATATTTGTCTTTCTCTGTCCGACTTACTTCACTTAGTATGATAATCTCCAGGTCCATCCATGTTGCTGCAAATGGCATTATTCCATTCTTTGTAATGGCTGAGTAATATTCCATTGTATCTGTGTACCACATCTTCTTTATCCATGTATTGGTCCATGAACATTTAACCTTAATTACCTCTTTAAAGGCTCTATCTCCAAATACAGTCACATTGAGGCTTAGAGCTTCAATATCTGAATTTTGGATATACACAATTCTGTCCATAACAAAGTATGAACGCCTTGTGTATAGGAACTGCCAAATTGTTCCCAGTTGTATGAAGTGTTATGTCAATTTAAATAATTCAGTAAATGGAAATAGCACCCGTTACCACTTCTGCTGCTCTCATCCTTCCTGTGAGATTTACTCAAGGATTCAAACCTTCTGAGGGGAATTTGATCTAATGAATATGAAATACATGACCTATAGTATAGCCCCTAAACTTTTTCATTTTCTTACCAAATGAATTACTTTCAAAATAGCTGTGGATGGATGGAAACAAGTTTTAAATTAAACCTTATCTCTCATACCTTGTCTGAGGGAGTGCAAATTGGTATAAACATTATGGAGGGTAATTTGACAATGCTGATTAAAATTACAGAATCATACAATCTGAATTCTGAAAATTCATCTGAAAGCTATAGCTGTACATGTATGAAATAACAAATAGGAAAGGCTGTTCATTTTAATATGATTTGTAATCGCAGAAGTTTGAAACAAATGTCCATTAACGGGGACTTGATTAAATAAAATGTGGTACATGCACACAGTACATGATTATGTGTCTGTAAAAATGAATGAGGAAGCTCTCCATAGACAAATGTGGAAGGAAGGCTCTCATTTGCTCAATGTGCATAACGAGGTATAGATATAAGAGAAAAATAATATATTCGTGTTTGTTCATGTGTATTCACATGAAGAAACTCTGGAAAGACACATAAGAAACTAATCAAGGTGGTTCTTTGGAGTTAGGCATTGGGACTTGGGAATGAGGCTCTTAACTTTTTCTCGATTTTAGAGTAATGTGAATATATTGCTGATAGAATAAAATTAAGTGTATGATCATGTTTTGATTTTTTTTTTTTTTTGAGTCCTAATGTGCATTTTCTCTGCTCTTGCTTTTTTGGGAATTTTGACTTTGTTTACATTTATGCAGTTGTTCATAAGATTCGTTAGGAAGTAAAACATATATACAGCCACTATGTTCCATTGCTATTATTAAATACACAGAAAAGAGTGTAATTGCAAAAGAGATTGCCCAGATTTTTTTTTTTTTTTTTTTTAATTTGCCGTGTTCTGAATTCTTTTGGCCATTACCTACACCAGGACATTTTTTGTTTTTTTTTTTTAAGAAGATGTTGGGGGTAGGAGTTTGTTAATTAATTAATTAATTTTTGCTGTGTTGGGTCTTCGTTTCTGTGCGAGGGCTTTCTCTAGTTGTGGCGAGCGGGGGCCACTCTTCATCGCGGTGTGCGGGCCTCTCACTGTCGTGGCCTCTCTTGTTGCGGAGCACAGGCTCCAGACGCGCAGGCTCAGTATTTGTGGCTCACGGGCCTAGTTGCTCCGCGGCATTTGGGATCCTCCCAGACCAGGGTTCGAACCCGTGGCCCCTGCATTAGCAGGCAGACTCTCAACCACTGCGCCACCAGGGAAGCCCCCCAGACTTTTTTTTTTTTAATACAATTTTTGCAAATCTCTTGATTTGCAAAATCAGTGATTGGCTTGATTTAATTGAATAGTCTTTTCAGATCACCGTGACTATTCTTCTTCGACAGTACTTAGACTAGTTTAAAATTTTTTTTAATGTCTTTGTTTATTACGATTAAAATGCTCATACATGGTTGCAAATAAGAGACGTTTTAAATATGAAACAATCTACATAGGTAGGTATTTCGTACCATTGGTGCAAAGACCAAATATTGATTGAGAAATTTAAAATTAAACAATTTGTTACTCTTGACTGCTTGTTTACAAATGGCTGTTTTTTTGGTGAATTTTTGCATTTAATTTATTGTCTGGACATTCTGCAAACTTTGTTTAAAAAAGAATACTATGAAGTTGTTTTAAAAAAATAAGGTTCAGACTTTTTTTCTAATTACTATAATTTTTATTGCCATATTACCTCAACACAAAACAGGCTTTTTCCCTGTACCTCAATCACAAGGATCAAGGGATGCCAATTCACATTAAAAAAATGTTTACCAGCTTTTCGCCCTGGTAGATAAACTTGGCTAATTGCTTCCAACTGCGTTCCACCCTATAGACTAATTGTTTATTGAGTCATGAGCATTAACTAAGGTAGTGATTCTTATTTTGCTGCAGCAGGGTAGGTATTTTATTTTAATCATGGTTGCCACTGTCTGCTAACCTTATTGAAGGTATTTGTTAGAAATTGTTGTCCACATCCTGTTATTAGAGAATTTCCAGGGGACAAAATGTGATGCTGTGATAGGATTCTTGGAAATTCCAAGAGGTTTTCTGTGGATTCATTTAGTTTTTAGATATTACTCAGTCCCCTTCCTTCTTGTCCCTTTGTCTTTCCTTTGTCCTCTTTTAATTTGGTTAATATGAAAATGCCAGTCATTCACAGGAAGCTCCCTTTGCTACTTTGTTCCATTCAGAGCAAGCCACACTAGCTTTCTCTTTCTAAACACTTGTTCTCATGAAATTGGCAGCCCAATCAAAAATGTTGAATATTTAATTTAATTGAACCTTTTGTAATTTGCCATTTAAATAAATTAGATTTCTCTAGACTTTTTTTTTTTTTAAAGCACTGAGTGTAAATACAGAGTTTCCTTTCCAAATTTATGTGCTATTAAAATGAAACAAGAAAAACAATGATTACTGTGTGATTGCCAGGTTCTGGTCTTGTATGCAACACCTCTCAGGAAAAAGATTCTCTCCAAATGGGTGTGTACTGTGAAAAAGGAGAGGTACATCTAAAGATGAAAGCAGAACCCATTCTCTTGAAATTTATTCAGGATATAATGAATTTTATCTTATAGGGATTTTCAAAGACCCTTCTTGTTCCCTTGAACTACTTGTTAGTAGTGAAACAAAGGTGCTGTGGGAGTTTCTGCCTTATGTTAGTGTAAGGAAATCACAACTCTTAGCTTCAAGGACTTAAATTCCCATTTTATTTTCCAATGGGCTCTTTGAAGATTTTCTAGTGAAACAATAAAAATAAAATACTAATATGTACATTACTAACATTCTTTTTTTTTTTTTTTTTTTTTTTTTTTTCTTTTTCCGGGCTTCTC